TATTTTTTAAATTAATATTTATTAAATAATAATACAATTTTTAATTTTTTAAAAAATTTTTCCAAAAAATTTTGGGTTATTGTATTTACAGATTTACAGTGTATGGTTAAAGAAAATAATTAGATTCTCACGTTCGTGTTTCACCAAATCCCGAGAAAGGTTATTGTAGCAAGTACACACAATAAGGTCGAGAATCATATTGTATATGTATTTTTTATTAATTTTTATGCATTTCCTCTGAAATAATGAACAAGTGATTCTAGCAATTAGATGATTCTGGTATGAATTTTGTTTAACTAATTGGGGATGAATTACATTTTTTAATTCCGCAGTAATTAAATGGTATACAGTACGTATTTAGATTATGCTTGTAGAAACGCCCCTAGCGATGATCTTGCAACCACATCGGGGAATTGCTGGTTAAGAGCTTTAATGAGTTCTATTAACTCTTGTCGGGTTTGTTCCTTTAGTTGATCTTCGGGGGGAGAGAGTACCTGAGCAAAGATATTTAACAACTCGGGAATATGGTTGAACACCTGACAGAAGATTCGGGTTAATGAGAAGAACGAATTTTCGTCGTTGAACTATAAAAGCAGGTTGCTTACAAATGAATTGTTTGCGCGGAAAAGCATAAAGATGCACTGAAATACTGGTTCGTTTTCTTCGTGATCCTTCTTTAAAGGCAGTACGCGTAGCACAGCCTCAAGTACCTTTGAGATAAAAAGTTTTCATGTTTCATTTAATAAATTCAATAAATAAACATATCAAAAAGGGTAAAGATAGCAGAAGAGAGTACCTGATCTACGGGCACTACATGTGGACATGCCATGATCATTCTACACACTGCGCCACACGCATTATCTGTCACGTTTGTTGAAGATTGATTAGTGAACAACAGACTTAGCCGCGAAAGTATCGAGGAATATTGTCTAAATAATTGATAATGGAAAATGGTTTCTAAGTAACTGAAATCCATGATTGGAACAATTGATTTGAGGATATACCCGCTAATGTCTACATTCGTGTACTGGCAAAGAAGACCAACCGCATAAGCAGCATTACTTCTGACCTCTTCCTCTTCATCTTCCAAGGCTTTCAGGTATATAGGCAATAATTGCTAATAGAAGAGCAAAGTTCTAGACTCGCATAATAATGTGCACAATGTTTATGTGACGAAATAAATAAAACAGCCTACTTGAGTAAATTCTGTTATGCCGGATTTCAACCCAACAGTGGATTCACCCAAACATCCGATAGCCATTGATCTATCAGAGATTGACCTCGTCTTTTTCTGGAAAATAAAATCTAAAAGAATTTAACTAAAAAGAAAAATACATATGTATTGGAAGAAACATTTTATTACATAATATTTGGTAATATACTGAATGTATTCCTTGAAGAAAGGCACAAAGTCGGGACCCATCGCGGATGCTAACGCAGAAACCAAGTCTGACGCACTGCTTATTAGAAGTTCATCATATTCGGCCTCGTCATCCTCGTCCAAAAATCCATCTTCATCGGCATCGTCCTCCTGACAAGCGGCTTTTTTCTGGTAAAGCAATAATACGTTGTCGCAAATCTGTTTCAAATCTGAGGGGGATAATTTTGATCGAGTATTAAACACGCGACAATGTGAAGTCACTCGTGATGAATACAGTAAAAATAAAGACTTACGGTCGGCAACTACGAGAGGACCACAGGTCTTTATAGCTTCGGCAAATTCTGCGCAAACTCGAACCACCACCATCCTTATCATAAATTTGAAGACATTGTTAAGCAAGGTAAAAGCAACAAAAACGGAAACGTGAACAAGAATTCTTAATATGGGTCATCAGGTTAAGGAGTGGTCTCATGTTTCAGTCAAAATGAGCTGGGTTAAAGCATGATATTTCATCACATGACCCATTGCGACAACACAGTGAAAACATACTTGCTTCTTTCATCTTCCCAGGCAGTTAAAATTGTGGGAATAACGGCTTTCGCCATGTTGATCACATTTTCGTGAACAGGAACTTTCTGCGTTAAATGAAATTGATGCAAATTGAGAATTGAATAATAGTGAATGATTCCAAGCAAGACAAAGCTGGCAATTCATTTTACCAAAGGTAATCCTGGCTGCCATTGAACTGGATTTGACATGTTGTAGAATGTGACCAGGAACTGAAATAATGATCCGATCACCGACTTTCGCACTCCATCCGAATGGTGATCTGATAATTTTATCAACTCCTGGAGAGTGGTATCTACATAAGGAAGGAAATGCGATCGAATGTTTTCAAAGATTTCGCCGATCACATCAGCCGCTATTTCTTTTTCATCGGCAATCGCAGAATTAACTGTAATTTCATTATCCTCTTCGTCATCGTCGTCCACATCCACATCAGACGAAAGAATTTCCTCTGCTGTAGGTGAAAACTTTTAAGAATTAAAAAAAAAAAAGAACACCTGAATAGATGTATACGCAAACGGGAATGACAATCACCCTCGGCATCGAACAAATCTTGCTCTTCCATTTGGCAACTTTTTATCAGCTGTGGCATAATGGTAGTTAGGTAAGGAGAAAACTCATCCTTGAATACGCGGGAAAAAACGGCAAATAAGCAGTAACTGCATTCGCGAAGTCTTGCAGAATCCATCTGGCTGCCCTCAATTGCTAACCGCATTATTTCGTTAGCATATGGCTTCAAATACATAGATGTAAAGCATAAGAAATTGGAAATATGCCTTAATTGAAAATACAGTAATTAAGTTTTGAGTCGACTACCTGTATTACTTCCTTTCCTACAGATTCGGCCACCGCACCAACTGTGTCTGTGGCTATTCCTCGTAAGAGGAAATCGTCATTTGTTTTATTCTGCGACATCAACAATTGCAGTCTGCTGATTACATGAGGAAAATAAGGTCTAAACTCCTATTGAAAGAAATTATCGATATATATATATATATATATTAGAGATCAACATTGTGACGTTCGTTTTCCACCGAGAAAAAATACCTCTCCGGATGCATGTGCAGCACTTCCAATAGCCGACACGACTGTGGCTTTCACTTCGTGTGCACTGTTGTCCAATAGCACAAGTAGTTTCTCCATTAATATAGGCAGATATTGGAGAATCTCGTCGCCTAATCCTTCTAAGATGGCGTCAAGAGCATTGCAAGCTTGTTTTTGTATCTCTACGTTTGAGTCATTTATCAATTCGAAGATCAAAGGTAATAACACGGCGTGTTTTGCAGCAATCTCTTGTTCAAGTTCCTCTATAAGGAATGAGATTTAAAAGTTCACATTTGAGCCATTAGTTCAAAAATAAAAAATGCACCGGTCAGCGTACACGAAACAAACCTGCCAAGCAACACAGGGCGATGCATGCACCCTTACGTACAATAACCTCGGGGTCGTGTAGTCCATTACAGACGAGAGGAAGCAAATTGTCAAACCTCGAACGCATGAAATCAGCACATCCTTCAATCAAGACCTGGATACAAGAAGCGAATTTAATATTTGAATGGGTGCAGATTTTAATTTGAAAGGGGCCCGGGAAAACATACTGCAAAAGCCATAATTCCAGCTTTCCTGTATCTTGGGTCAGGATTCTGAACGTACGCGGTAACATATTCCATGACTACCGGAAAGATTTGTTGCGGGGGTAACTTGGTTGACAGAGAATTTATCACCCTGAAAGTCATCTTTTGATTTGAAAGAGGTCAACCTAAACCCATGCCAGTGAAAACATCTCCAAACTACCAAACGTTACCTTTGAAGGTGATTCATCGTCCACATCATCGGGATCATCCTCTGTGCCAATTGGCATTAACTGTTGGATAATGGGACCGACAAGTTTCAACTTTTGGATTTTCGCTTTTTTACTTGATATAATGTAAATATGTTCATTAAGACAATCATTTCAATAAATAAATAAATAAATAAGTCATAGGTCATAATCACTTACTACGCGGCAACCCATATGACAAATTGTAGTGCCATCACACGAATTGATTTATCATATTTAGTGTTACGCGCCACGGACAAGACAAAGTCAATAAGTTGTGGAAGGTGAATAGACAGAAACGGCGTTTCCTATAAAACGCGGTAATGATCTCGTAAAAAAGCAAGAAACCAGGAAACAACAGTTGAACAAAATTTAAACATTACACCATACCAAAAGAAGCAAGGTATCGAATAACTCAAAGCCTTTAAGAGCTGACTCAACATCACCATCGTTCAAGCATTGTTGAAGAACGTTGATCATAGAGGGAATTAAGTCCCGATACATTTTCTAATGCAAGATATAGATATCAGATGCACGAATATAGATATGTCATATATCTGAGATTGCTTTGAAAACCGAATTCAAGGAATAGCAAGCGTACAATATCTTCCTTATTATCTGGTTCAATGAATTCCGCCACTTTTCCTAGTGCCCTATGAAAGATGACAAATAGAAATTTGAGTGGAGTGACATAAATGCTTGAAACAAACAGAGCTTGGAACTTACTCTAATGAGGTAACGCGCACATTTTTGCTTTCCGGATCGTTCAACGCGGCACCAAACATTTGTAAAAGTTGATGGAGGTTGTCTATAAACACATCTGTCACTTCCAACAAAGAGAAGATAACAAATATTCCCACCTAGATAAAAAAAATTTTTTTTTTAAAAAATTACATTAATTCACCCAATCTCATCGAGGAACAAAGCTTTTTACCTCGCGCTGTCCCACAATTTGACTCTGGCAGCACTGATATAAAAATTGAAGTAGTTCATTCCATGTGCCGGCCGGCAGTTCGATTTTACCTATTGCAGATATCACGCGTGCGGTAGCATGACGCACGAGACCTCTGTAGATAGGAATGCACATGAATTGAGAGCAGGTATCAATTTCCGTGCTCTGTGGAATATAACCTTTTATAATAAACAG